CACACCAAAACATCCGTAAACGCAGTTGTGCTGGTTCTCTTATTCTGATTTGCGAAATCAGTGAGGAAATAAAAACCAAAATCTAGATCAGATCGGGTATCCGTGCAACATCTCCTCGGAACAACTTAACTACTAAAACAAACGGAGGTGACGAGCTTCCCCACACACAAATACTCCAGAAGGATCCAGATCTGAATTCCAGATTTGGAGGGATTTCGGCGAGTACCGCATACCATGGCAAACCTCGAGATTTTCTTTTGTAGGTCGGATTGAATCTCTTGTGTCTACCTGATCTCGTCTCAGCCCTGACAGCACACACGGTGCAAGTGAGCGAGACAAATTTTACATTTCCCGTGTGCTTATTTGATTTGCACATTCCTCTCTCCGTTCCATGCGGAAGTCTGTTTTCCGTTACAAATCCCCCACTTTCTCAAGGCCTTTTTAATGTGACCAAGGCTCCAAGTACCCTCGCCATCTCTTTGGCTGAAATCCAGCACACATGGCACCACCACCACCACCACAACAGTTACGAACCAAACCTTACCTCAAATTTCAATTTCCTATCACCACCAACACGATATTTTCAGAGAACCATATTTAGTCTGAGGACAAGGGAATAAGTCACCACGTGCAGATTCGACGTCTCAATATTTAAGGAGGAAAAGAGAGATACCGCAGATCTTCATTTCTTCCGGCATCCATCTCAAGATCGGAGTCAGGCTGGTGGAACTAAAGCCAAATTGAATGCAATGTTACGTAAGTGGAGAAGAACGACCCAAGCGATCACACTCTTCTCGCAGACAGATCTTGTTTGGGATTCCGTTCCCCAGTGCAAAGATTGAAGGGAACGAATGCCATGTAGAACTCAACCAGACAGAATCAAATCCTAGTTCGGTTCGGTATTTTCTCACTGCACTGCACCCAACTTCCTACGTACACGACCATAAGGAGGAATAATGAAGATGAAGTGCTGGAATTTCTCGTGTCAGATACAGTAGTGCATCCATATTTATACATTCTCCTTAACGCATCCCACATCTTTTTCACCCTACAATGCGGTATCATGACCGTATATTATGACCCTATCGCAAAGTATCAAGTATCGATCTCCTCAAAATACAAATACCGTTGCGAATGTGATACATTCAAAGTCAATGTGAGACTCTTGAAATTGAAACATTGCCTTTCGTTCTGATTCACGAAGCGGCAACACAAGCCGACGATACATTTCTGTTTCTTCAAGATAAGATTGCGGCCAAAATGTAAGCTCGAAATTGAAGAGAGCTGACTTTTTTAGTAGTATTTACACACAATATAATGCGTACACATACAGAGTGATAATTTAAAAAAAAGCTTTAGAATGAAGGGAGGGATTGACTTTCTTGCGTGAGAAAGTGCTCGTCTGAATTGAGTTGCTACACATAATGTGCATAATATGTATGCTGGAGAACTTGACTGCTAACAGTGAACAGGGATAGAATATAGTGACGAAAGATGAGGAATCATGTTTGCTTTGGGAAAAAGCCAATGCGAGAGGTCTTGGTGGGTGCTTCTCATTTTATCAAGTGACTACAATTGGAAAGATGTTCGGAAACATTGCATTTTTAACGCTTCGCTTCGTAGCAATTCATTTTCCTACTCCTCTCATAATCTACTCCCATTTAGATCGAAATACAATTTTCGTTTGATTTTCAAGATTGGGTGCAGACGTGAGTTTCGTATTTTTTCATACGTGCATATATCGAATTCTATTCAAAATGTAAAAGTTCAACGATTCCGTGCCCTTCCATTCTCTCCTCTCTCTCTCTTTCTCTCTGTCTGCCCGTGTCTGCTCAACATCTTGGCTGTTGTGTGACCTATTTACCTATGGAAATTTATTGATTAATGTAGAAACTCATGTTGACATTTAATCAGTCAAAGTCAAAAGTTGTAATCGAATCAACAAATCTTCCGAGGTTGTACTTATGTCACATATCCACATTTGCAGTGGAAATCACGTCCATGCTCCACATTGCCTCAGTCCAGGTCACATTAATTGGACAGAGTTGACTAACCCTTAAATCCAAACGGCAAGCAACGTTTGGCGACCATGTAACAAACTTCTTGACAAAGTACAGAGCAGACGTGTGTACATATTGCATTGGGGTCTGGTGAGCAAATCTCAGCAACCCACTTTGCAGTATTTGCTTTAATGATTGAGCTGGAAAAATAATGCACCATGTACAGATCGTACATCACAGAAACAAATGCAACATCATGAAAAAAGTACACTGTTCACAAGTGCGTTTTGGTTATGTTCAAGTGACATTTGAAATGGAACAAGAACAGAGAACATGCATGCATGCATAGTTTGTTGAACGTCATGCCAAATTAATCTTGCCCGAGTTAAGCACAAATCCAGACCCATGTGGAGTTTAATGATGACGGAGTAATTTCGCATCTCTTTTATAAAACAGCATATGCTAGATAATTGTTCGCCAACTAATACCAATCAATCTCATGCCAGAAGTAAGTAATCCACTACAACCAGTCTTAATCTTGATGTATTTGCATACGTATGTATGTATCTGCCAGCCCATTAACATTTACAGCGACAACTATTGAGCCTTAACTGATCATAACTGATACTGACTCCATGCAACATAAGATTTCGAGCATTAGCATAATGATTACCAATACAATTTTCTGGTTAACTACTGGCGGCAGTTGTGTCCCTGGTAGACTAAACAGTTGATAACTCACAAGCAGCTAACGTTTCTATGTGGAATATTCAAGAAGTAGTTGTTCAGTATCAAATATCAATCACGCTAATGCATCCTTCACTCCTGCAAACGCCAATAATAGTCGACACCAATCTCAATTTATCCTTCATATATGTGTATACTCGTTTAGATAAATGTAGGCTGAAAAATCGGAACTTTCGTTTGAAAATGGTGATGAAAAGGATAAGGAAGAGGGTACCAGTTTGAATAATGAGCAATTCACAGTGCTCACATTCACAGTATTCCATATTTTATAAAGGGTAAGACAAGAAAGTTACACATCTCACAGCCAGTGAGTGCATACGTTCTGAGAATTAGTGGAACCAACCAGATTCAGCTTATTACATAATCACGTAATGATAACAATGTAGCCTTTCATCGAAAGTCTTTATGCTTTTGATATCACACACACACACACAAAGATATGAAGCAGAAGAGGCGTCTAATTGTCTCAGTCATCTTCAACCGACCAAGAAGTCCAATTTATAATGGGCTCCTGCTCCCGTTCTCCAGGCTAATGTATAAGAGTTCTCCTTGAAATCTACATTTTTTACTAGTTGTACCCTCGTAGCTCGTTCTTGAGCATTCGATGCGTATAATTGATATGATTATCATTCTGACAGGTGGAAAAATGTGCAGCTCAACCACCAATTTATCAAAACTTGTAACAAACAATGAGCCCAATTGTGTGCAATGTGTTATTAGCAACAGAAAATTTGAAATTTGCTCTGACATGGAGAAATAATTGTACGCAGGCATCAAACTAACAATAAGTAACTTGTACTAACGACCACGATGCTCCGAGTCAGTAAAGAAACTTTTTTGCAGTTTTTTGCAACTTGAATGAACTTGAATTTAACGAGAACAAAATCACAGAGCACAAAAGTTCAAAAGATTGTGACGAGTGCTGGAAAACTTTAACGACCTTCTAAAAAAGACACGACATATAATTTGGAAATCGCAGCAAAACTTCCTACATTACAAAGAAATCATCCGATGGGCAAACAGGGAAAAAATCATAATCAAATATTAGTGATCGATTCAGTAGTAATTTCATACGTTTAAAAACCTCGACGTCATTAGAACACAATTAAAGCCAAAGATTTGTCCTTTCTTTGAACCTTCAGTCCATGATGGATAATAGAGAATAAAAGAAAGCAGAGATAAATGTGCTCTCTTTTGAAACTCAATTCCAGATCCACATTTAGATTTGTAACGAGCAGTAGAGCGAAACCAGACCTACGATTTTAGTTGGGTATATACATATACGAGTACGGGTGGATAGAAGTATAGAAGAGTGGGCGTCCTTGTTATGAAAACATTTCTAAGGAGGGGACGAATTTGGCATGCAAAAAAACCTACTTGGTTTGTCAGAGACAAATTTTTCACCAGTTTATCACGCACAATATCTCCAGAAGTATTCAAAATTTTTGCCTCTTTCAAGTCAAAGATGGTAAAAATTATTTAGGAGCTGCCGAGGAAGAGAGAAGAGAAGAAAGGGAGATGGCCATGTTTGTCTGGAGAGATTGTGATGATCATCATCGTTTCATGACACTAATGCTGCGCGTTTCTTAATGAGTGATTGTCCACCTTTTGATAGCTGTGTTATTAAAGACATGCCATCATATCCACCTTTGTTCTTTCAGCGTATTTTTCATCGCCATTGCTGCGAATGAGTATACTAAACTATTCATACCAGTATTTGGACATATGCATGCACGGACATTTAGATGTGAAAGGTGGCAGTATATGCAGAGGAACAATGGAGACAATGTAGCAGTTAATGACTAGGAGGACGAGAGAAAGGGTGGTGATATTTATTCAAGAATTTAATTTTCTGATTCGTCAGTACTTACTAACACCATAAATAAAAGGAAAAGACAACAGATGCATACATCAAAAAATGTCCATGTGCGGCCTATCTCATTTCCGGTTTACATATTTAAACCCCTTTAACTGATAAGACTTTAAAAAATTGCGACAAGGTAAACTGCCTGCTAAAGTAAGGTCGACGGTATCAGTTCGGGCATGATGTATGTACCGTAATAAAGCCATGTATGTAAATTGAAATCAGTTTCACTAATCTGCATATTTGTGGCTTTGCAATGTGCCACGAGGTATAAATGAGTTGAGCGTATTCTGTTTGCGTTCCACAGGAAATAATTACTCAAAAGTCGAATGCTCATCATCGTTCAACAACAATCATTTGTAAAAGTCAAGTTTAAATATTCCTCTTACCTTGCACATTTTGAAGGAGGAAAATCCAGATCAGAATCCCGGACCAGAAGAAGAGGTTCACTTTTCTCTCTGCAAATCTTCTTGTTGATATGTTGTGATCCATTTTACATTTTTTCATTGGCAAGATCCGTTTTTGGACAAAATGGTCGATATCGAAGAGTCACAAAATGTCAGATTGGAAATATTGCAGGTAAAACCGGCATCAAACTTTCATCACTTTCTTTTCTCGTTCCACTTGAGGGAGTCGCACATCCATTATCGATCACACCGAGACCTGGAATGATGTAAGTAAACAGATAATTTCCGCTACACGTGGACTGAACTTGATGCTAGACCAAGTTGTTGATCCGTAATAACTCGATAAGAAGTTGATGATGAGGAGGAAAGAAGATTGAGTAGGACTTGGAGCAAAGTTCTAAAAAGATGCGACAGGACGCACACACTTTGTCGTCGTATGATTATTACGTTCGGAGGACGATGACGGCAAAAGTTTGTCTCTCGTTTACTCGTTTTTCATACTCGCTGAGTTGTACTTTCCACGTGGGGTCCAGTTCGTCACTCCTTTTTTATTTGGACAGTGGAAACAATAAAATACTACTGTAGTTAACAAAGTAGTAAAACTGGATTGATGTTTGTGATACACGACTGTTGTTTTCTACCTCAATATTTGGATTCGCTCCGTCAATTGATAATCGACGTAAAGTATTATATGATATTATATGATGCACATTCTGTTCTGGATTCACTGAAGAATCTCACAAAACCCTTAAAAAATACGGAATAACTAGCAATTTAATGTGGTTATTAAACCGACTCAGAACTGGCTGACATGCTATTTAATTCCAGTCCACGAACGACTCTCGTCCCCGTCTGGTGTCGGATACTACTACTCTGCAGCCTTTAAGATAGAGTTCGTATAGTCACTTCACTGGATGCAATAAATTATGTGAAGAAAAACCACAGACTGGAAAGACGTGGGTTATGCGTGGAGTATTAATTCTCTATAGAGGAACAAGTCGATAAGTCCAATAGTAGATTCGATATCCGCTCCTGCGGCTTCCTCACTTGATTCTTGAGAGAGTTGATTAATCTCGAATCTGACACGGCGAACGAAGATTAAAGATGTTCACCGACAGCTCCCAAAATTACTTTGCTTCTCTCCATATGAGTTTCCTATCACCACATTTGCACCTCCTCGTCAATATTCCTTCTTATCAATCCTCTCTTTTACACTTGAACTGCTGGAGAAGAATTTATATGCAAATATTAAAATCACGTCGTCGTCAACTAAAAATCAAAATATTATGTGCTGCGTGATTTCCCTCTTTCACTCTCAGCTACACTCTCGAGTTTATCATGCATCCACTTAAATCCTCCAAATTTAATATTCATCCGAGTCAATGGAAAGCTTTACCTTAAGACAACAGGAGGAAGGCTGGGTGAAGATGAGAAGATGACTTGTCTGATGGCGAGTCAAAGTACTATCGAGTGCACGACTCGAGACTCATTCTACCAACGCTTTTTCTTTCCCACTTGCTCTTGATGCTCCTCTCTGCGTATGCCACCAAGGAGCAGTGTTCAAGAAGAAATATGCGTAAGTGGCAGATCAACGATCAGCTAAAATCTCAGACTAATGCAATGTTCAACAACAAGTTTCTCTTCAGCTGCATTAGCTTCGATGATCTTGTCCAACTCGAGCGTCGAGAAAGACGCCGCTTGAAGGAGGAGAAGGGTGTAATAGATGACTCGACATAATTCAGTGTCTTTTTTAATGCGAAAGTCGTCTTCTCCAAGCTAATGGCTCAATTGGGTATTGAGATGGTGTGGATGCGAGAACACACTTTGGTCGTCGTTTCTTGACAACTTCTCCACAATATTCTTCCACCAAGTATTTCATCCACTAAAGAAATCTGCAAGTAAAAATTATTGCATTTTTACGATTGTGTGCATACAAACATTTCAGTACAACAAAATAGAATTGCTACTATTAAGACTAAATGAGTAGTAGCAGTGGGTGAAGTTAAATGCATGTACGCATTATTAAAAATACCTTGGCATGGACTTTATGACATATTTGTAGAGAGATTGTGAACACACTCCAAGCCTTGGCCATATTTAGTATGTAATTAGTGATTAGCAGAAGACAATATGTGCAGCCTATTTATTTGTGGTCTTAACTTTCTGATCCTGCGTACAAAAGATGCGTCGTAGTCAACAATAAATGTCATACTCATTTCTAATAAGTTACAATGAAATTAGTCATTGATTTACTTCCCACACGACAACTGAGCAACGCGATGATGTGATGTGTCCTCAGCGGTGCTTCATGATTTCTGTCCTACGCTTCGTGGAACATGAAATTCTCGAAAGCCGTCCGAACAACCCAAACCAAATTCAATATTTGCTCATCTATCTTCCTTGTCAATTTCAAATGCAGTTGTGTGTGTGCTTGTAGGAGGCCCCTTGTTGTCACTCGCTCTAACTTTGTCTGCATGGTTATATACAAAGTAAAATATGCTTTTACTTGAGGTTCAAGAGGAGATGGTAGATCTCAACAAAATAAATAAATGCGGATACATGCCAGTGGGGTCCTCGCTATCTCGGGTTGACTCAACTGTACAACTGTCTGATTCAATTTGATTGCGTACTTTTTATTTGTTTATCAAAGGAAGGAGAGGGGAACCAGAAGAAGTACTTGGAAATTTAGAGAGTTTATATGGTTGCATCAAAAACACATACCACGAGCACAGACATCACTCTCATTATTATCATTATTATGTATCTGTACCCAACTACCCACTGTGGGCTAGAATTCTAACTCGACGATTTTGACGGATGAGATAAAAATCCTACCAAATAAAAAACCCACACTACATACAAAACGCGAACGAATTTAATTTAATATGTTCCGCTCTGCCAATAATACGAGCATGTCACCAACCAAACTAACAATAAGTCTTACCTAAGGGACGAGATTGCCAGTTTAAAATCTCACAATGCAGATATTTGTGTATGTAATTCCATTTTTACCCAGGACCTTACTTATTTTTACTATTAACAAGGATAGAAATTTCACACACTTTAAAAGGCGATTAAATGTGTACAACGTCAAAATTAATCCCACCCCGAAAAAAACCACAAGTGCAAAAACCTTGGGATCTTGTTATTGTTGAAGCTGTTTAATACAAGACCAGAGTTGAACATGGGAACTGTCTGGAGGTTGCTAAATAGAACTGAATTGTTTGATCACAGGTTTGACAAGTTTTTCAAGCTTGTTGGAGTACGTGTAGGAGCCGTGAATGATGCCGAGTTTGTGATGCAGCTTATAAAATAAATTTACATACATATGGATGCATACATACATCCTACATATTCATAAACTCTTGATATCAACAGCAAAATCTTGAAGGTTTGATGGGGAGGTGAGCAGTTTCATTCAGAATAAGATTTTATGTAGCATTAAAGATGTCACAAGTCAGAGGCTCCTACTACCAGGTAATGTTGTTGGAGATAAAAATCAGCAAACAAAAGAGATTATGATGCCCGGCTATCGTTTCATGCTTCTTTTCAGCTTTCTAGATAATGGACTTTGGCAATTAACATTTTCATCACTTAGGAGGGGAGGTTGTGTACTATCAACTCCCGGATCTCGATGCCCTTTGGATATGTTGTAGTGTCCCATGAATGTACAACAACCCTGAAGCGGTTTGATGCCATGGCCACATTTGCGCCTGCCACACCGACTCAAAGGTGCCCAAAAACCGCTTTCACTCCAGCTTTCACTCACTTAAATTTACCCCAAAAATCCAATTTTACTCGGATTTTCAAATTTCTTTCACCATTATGCTCCCAGATAGTTGCTTTCTTATTTCCAACACCAAACTCAACTTGTTTGATGTTTATTTCGCAGGCATAATTAGCTTTGTTGATTGCTACAACAATGCTCATTCAGAATTTTAAATTTTAAAAATACTAAAAAAATTGAAAAGTCGAGTTTGATGTTGGAAATAAGAAAGCAACTATCTGGGAGCATAATGGTGAAAGAAATTTGAAAATCCGAGTAAAATTGGATTTTTGGGGTAAATTTAAGTGAGTGAAAGCTGGAGTGAAAGCGGTTTTTGGGCACCTTTGAGTCGGTGTGGCAGGCGCAAATGTGGCCATGGCATCAAACCGCTTCAGGGTTGTTGTACATTCATGGGACACTACAACATATCCAAAGGGCATCGAGATCCGGGAGTTGATAGTACACAACCTCCCCTCCTTAGCCAGCACCAGAAACATGAGACAACAGATATCATAGTAATATTTAATAGGCTTTGACAGCAAAATGTGTTCCATTGTTTAGCCTGTTTTTCTATTCAGTAAGTACATACGCAATTCTGGCAAGGGAATGATCGTAGTCAAGATTTAGATCACTTGCCAAGATATACGTATAAATAGTCAAACAATTCGAATTTGGGGAAAACAAGGGACACTCAACGCTGGTGAGAAGAGCAGTTAATTTTATGCACTCCTCAGTGTCCCACATTTCCTTTCCTCCCTTGTTGATAAGCGCAGAAAAATAACTCATGTTCATGCTAATTCTCCCGACGCAAAACCAGCAAAAGATAATGAAGAAGGTTTGGAATTTATATTGTTCTTCACGATGAATGTGACACGGCAATACGGGAATAGAGACATAACATTAAATTATCCAACCTGTGTCGTCATAATAAGGCGACGTATTTAATATTTTACTCTCAGGCTGCACCCAGATGCTTTCATCTACTTTCCATTCCCATTAATTTTCACGACGAGATGGTGCATTTGTGATGTTCTCGGATTGCGATACTGCTCGTGGAAATAACTCTTTCGAAGGAGAAAGTATGCCCATACATTGAACCCGAAGAAGAAGGCGGCTAAAACTCAGCTCCGCGTTTCCTAATCCACTGACGCACTTTGAAATAAATTATTTGTCTCATTCCCGTGAAACTAAAGGGAATGTATGGCAAATAAATTATTCCCGTTGGTGCTTCCATTAAGACGGATAAACCGATCGATATCAACGCAGTATACATTACGGTCTACTGTGGGCAACAAACTGCATCGCGTATGGATTTGGTGGTGAGGGTGTCAGTTCCTCCACTTCTTGGCCTGGCAGTACAAACACTTTTTATTGTGGAATTTCGGATCCGAATGTTTATTATGCAATATTTACTCAAGATATTAGTCCCTTGATGCCTTTGGATTGTTCTCTTTGCCCGAATAAATCCCACATTCAACAACCACTGCAGTCTTTATATTACACTTTGAATTTTTAATGCTGCCAGAATATTTCTATTGCTGGGTAAGAAGGAAATATGCGAATGGTACAAGTTGGATTTCTCTTCTTGTGCAACACCGATAACCAAACCAAATAAACGCAAAGATCCGCTACCACCGGCATTGTTTGTGCAACGAGGGTGGGGAAACTCCTCCAAGGTAAACATGCGTAATTTTGCATAATTTAGATCGGAATTGGAAGATAAATTTTACAAAGATCTGCAATTATGGTTGGAACACAGGAGTCAAATTGCATGATACCAACCCCCTGTCAGTCACCCCAGGTTTTTCCTCATATAAATAATTTTACTAATTGCTAACTGTCAACCTAGGGACGAATTACGTGATTTTATAATTCATTCTGAACCACCTCCCTTGCCTCTTAAAAATTTATTAAGGCGTCGATCCGGTCTGACTGTTGATTACAGGCGACCTCGTGTCCTTGTTGCGTTAGTTTAGTCCAATAATAAGCCCGCATGAGTTCGTAATTTGCACTAACCCAAAAGAGAAACAAAGTATCTGGCTGGATGGCTGATATATAGAGGCATTGCTTAAATTTGGCAACCCTAATCGTAAAACATATCAGCTCTAAATCAGCCACTATCAAATAAGATACAATCAAGATTTACACCTTAAAAATGTACGACAAACCCCGTGAGACAGACGGTTATTTTGTAAGGAATATGCAAGGAATGGTCTATAGCTTAGCTGCTGTCAAATTGAGAAGAATGAGTAGGAACAAGGGATGAGAATTTAAAACTTGTTCTGCTATACAATGTAGACGTATGTAAGACTGCAGACTGTAAACCAGACCAGAAGCCAACGGCCCTGGATATATTTCACAAGTCATGGACACCAGGAGGGGATATTCAAACATTTTACAAGTCTGGACACTTTAAATGATGCCAACCAACGAGTGTAAATGCAACCCATTAAAGTTTTATTGTGAGGAGGAAATACTTTGAGTCAACTTTATGAATTTTGAAATTTAAAACCGCAGTAAGTTGAACAAGTTGCTTTATCAAGAATCGAAAAACAGCATTAACTGTCCCCGTTATCAGGACACTGGTGTTGTTCATGGTTCCTGGCGAAGAAGGAACTTCCTATTCGTAGGAAGGGAAAAGGAAGAAGAAGTCCTTTTAACCCTAAATTACAACTCACTACCTGACATGCATGGACTCCCTGCCGACACATTTCGGTGAGCTGTGACACCATGTTGAGACCATCGTAGCAGCAGTAGCTTAGGTAGGAGAACTAGTGCTCCACAACAACAACAACATCAAAAGAATAAAAGAATGGCGTTGGTCACTCGATGTTTGTTGACCATTGATTCATTTTGTGGAGAAATAAGGAGCTGATGGTCCGCCCTTCTGCCGTAAATCCATTCACAAACGTGCACATATTCTAAGAATTATATTCGAATAATACACTACAGGTTTTCCCTGTTCGATTCTCTTTTGGTATTTCTGAAAGAGAGATGGCCTATGGCAGAGCTGAGAGCATTTCCAAACCAAAACCGTGTGATTTCCAACCACATTTCAACTCCCACAGGACAAATCTAATGAATTGAAATGGGTTCACTGAAGTGCATTGAAATGAATATGTCTCT